ACTCTTTATTTCATCCATTGGGGTAGATTGTTCTAGTTCCACGTGTCATGGCACCTCCTGATTTCTCCCTTTCACTTAACTCTCCAAATTTTGTTCACTGCTGTAGCCTGGTATTGACAACACTTTGGGTCAAGTCTCTGGATTCAACCAACGCTTTTATCCAGTAGGCCAATCACCTGAAGAAGACCGGAAAGTACAACTGCCAAGTGTGTAAATTACTGTCGATTAGTTTGTAACACTCTATTTATCATCTCTCAGATGCGTCTTTGTCTTTGAACTGAGTGCGCTCAGGTGCGGCTCTGTCAAAGGAAATTTATATTGAGAAGTGCCGGCCCTGCAGAGCAGCTGCCCAAGTCTGCGCCCTCTCATTGCACCGGAGAGCGGGATCGGTGCACGCACTGAGGCCATCGCAACGGACGGTTCCGGGGTCTTGGGCAATTATTGTTCCTAGACTGGTTCTACGCACTCGGGTTCTCCACATTAAACCGACCTTGTGTCACAACCTGACCTCGTGGTGGGGGTGAGTAAAAGTCGAAAACGTGCTTAAATTTGTTGCCATTTTAATACGGCAACAAATATGAAGACAAGAGTCAGAATAATGTAAATAATTTAAATAATGACAATACTTCATCTCAGAAATATAGACAAATACATACATATATATATATACATATATATATATATATATATATATATATATATATGCTAAAATTTCTGAGCGAAAATGTATTCCAAAAATAACTTCAACAAATCTAAAACATTAAACCATATCATCGACTCTAGCAATTTTATACACACAAACACATATATGCACAAAAGCTGAGAAACATCTATGTATTCACCCGTGAAAGCCGAATACTATATGATATTACTTCAAAACTCCAAAGAAAATTACACTGTGGCATTAAATTACCTATGAAAATTTCATTTGACATTACAAAATCACTCAATCATTCGTTAAAATCCTTGTGCCATCAAAAAACTGTCGATGTCTTAGTATTTTGACAATAAGCCATTTTTATTCATAACTTTTCAATATATTAACAAAAAAACGCAATAAAAATAACGTTAACTTCTTACCAAGCGTAAAAGTTTATAACTTGTATCTTACGATTATAATACGCGATAGTTTTGAATAAGGCATTTTGAATGACTCGAGAATAATTCATACAGAATTGATACAACGTCACAACCAATCAGAAGTCATCTAATGTTATTCTACAGAGAATATGAAGAAGAAAATTTAACCTAAAGCACCTTTTACATAGAATTCGAAAGAGAGAGTTGAGATTTCTACGATAGTATGAAAAATATAGTTGTTAAAACCCCTGAAAGGGAAGATGAGTCCATTTATCTGATAACAAGGGTAGGACCCAAATTTAGGTGCTAAAAGGATTTGAGAAACCAAACTAGAGGCTTCAAGACCACCGACTTAATTGGATGCATTTGAGCCTTCTTCAAAAAACAGGCGATGCTGGCCATGAGCAAACCTGAATAATACATCGACAAGCAGCCATCCGAAAAAGAGATATCATCAAATTCAAGGTAGTGTTTTATACAATTTCCAACAGCTATTTTGGACCTCGAACCGATGCCATGACATTAACTGTTAAAAGAATATGTCTAGCAATTCTCTCTTCTCTTTCTCGTTGTATAATGGATTACTTATATAAAGAATGCCCTTTTAAACTGATTACTAGTCTCGTTCTTCGCTAGACTGTCAGGACGTATATATATATATATATATATATATATATATATATATATTCCCAGAATACAAAAGGACGAATGTGCGCTTGGGGAATTTGACACTCATTGGGTATACAGAAGTCAAACGGGATTGAAGATAACATACCTAAAATAATGTCTAAATGAATGGCAAAACGTGAACTGGGAAGTTTAAAATCGTGACAAATATTGCTTACAGCTACAGAAGATAAGAGGATGAGGATAGCTATGACCGACAATTTTCGGAGGAGTAAAACACAAATAAGTTTCAGCAGGTAACAAGAGAAACTTTAATCAGGTAAATGTTTTAACGCTATCTTATGTGGGGGAAACACAACAACTCAACTGGTAATAGCAGGTAGGAACAAAAACCCTCGAGGAGGGTAACCGACAAAATCGGTGTCACACGTCCAACCTTCTCACGAGCCAAAACCCCTCTGATCCGAAACAGGAAAACGCGCCTGCTTTATACAGCCGAGGACCGACCACGATTTGCATGCGAATGATGAGACAACGAGATTTCGCGTTAACTAATCGAGACCGCCCGGCATAAAACATTGGCGCCGCCATTTTGGTTCCTTTTACCGCTAGCAAAGTGGAGTTTGCACATCGAAGATTCGCTGGCGTTTCCGAGGTAGGCCATTTTCACAGATTTCCTCACAATAAAGTACAGTGCCTGTGCACGTTCAAGCAACAGCGCCGCTCCCACTGGTCTGATTCCAATTATTCATAGCTCATTCAAAAGCCCTACAAAAGTTACTAGAATGGAACGATTTTCATTGAGCTCAGATTCAAGGTTGCCAGATGATGAGAGTTTTAAAATAGATATTAATATATTACATTAGCCATTATCGTTGCAAGTAGCATAATATTTTAAGCTAGCTAAAAAGCCACCATATCAGGCGCCATTTAATTTAGCTCCTGTGGAGAATGCTTACGTTGGCCATCATCACAATATTTAGGAGCAATAGACGTGACAGGCAACAATAAGCTACAGAACAAGTCAAAATTGACCGCCGCATTTAAGTATTAAATTAATGTTTAAGCTTACCTTTTAAAAGTTCAACGATAATTCTTCTGCTGCCACTTAATGTACAGACGATTTGGTGTGCTTCGATCCTTATTTTTCCATACAAACAATTATTTTTTTAATGGTTGAAGGAACAGCAGATAAAATTAATATAATGCAAAGATGGGAAAATAGACATTAGAATTAGTTATACATTCAACATGAGAAAAGTTACAGAAATATAATAGCAAATTAAGGCCCACAAATTCTGAGATTAAAACACTCCAACGCTATTTTATAGTAATTCACCCGGTATTTACTTGACACCACCACGAGGTCAGGTTGTGACAAAAGGTCAGTTTAATGTGTGGAGCCTGAGCGCGTGCACCCGGGCAAGGAACAAAAATTCCCCGAGCCACCGCAACCGTCGCCCCTGAGCGCACTCTGTCCAAGGACAGAGACGCAACTGAGAGATGATAAGTAATGTGCATAAATTACTTATTGTAATTTACCCGGTGTTTACTCATTCCCCCACGGGAATGAGATGTGGCACAAGGTCGGATTAATATGGTTACCCAAGCGCGTACACCCGGGCAGGGATAAAAATTCCCTTCGGGCCCCGCAACCGTCGGTTGCGCTGACCTCGGTGCGAGCACCGATCCCTCCCTCTTGTGTAATGGGAGGGTGCGGCCTCGGGCAGCTGTTCCCCAGGGCCAGGCACCTCTCAGTATAATTTTCCTCAGTTGCCCGTCTGTCCTTTGATAGAGAAGCCCCTGAGCGCACTTTGTCCAAGGACAGAGACGCAATTGAGAGATGATAAATAATGTGCATAAATTACTTATAGTAATTTACGCGGTATTTACTTGACCCCTCACGAGGTCAGGTTGTTACACAAGGTCGGTTTAATGTGTGGAGCCCGAGCGCTTGCACCCCGGCAAGGGAAAAAAATTCCCCGAGCCCCAGCAACAAGCGGTTGCGCTCGACTCGAGGCGAGCACCGATCCTCCCTCTGGTGCAATGGGAGGGCGCGGCCTCGGGCAGCTGTTCTCCAGGGCTGGGCACCTCTTCAGTATAATTTTCTCAGTTGCGACTCTGTGCTTTGACGGAGCCGCCCTTGAGCGCACTCTGTCCAAGGACAGAGACACACCTGTGAGATGATAAATAATACGTACAAATTACTTATAGTAATTTACGCACAAGAGACTCAATATCTGTAATATTTATTATCTATTTCTAGGAAATATCACTCCTCAGACTCAATTAATTTGCATATTGATTTTAATAAAAAAGTTTATTTCATTAATTAACTGTCCTTCATTACTGTTCTTTTATTCGAGGATTTTTTGGTTTTCATATCAAAAATACTTCTGTTTAGAAATATCGCATTGAAATTTGCATTTTACTTGGCATTCGACAAGTTGACATCTATTTGTAAAACTTTCCTTAACTATAAAAAGACAATTTATGAATGAAATGATCATTTTTAATTTTTTTTTTAATGATTTCATTAGTGAATATATCTTACTTTACGAAGCGACAGAGAGCGGCCGAATCCTGATAGTATTTCATACGGAGAAGTTCAGCTTGAGCTTATCTAACTCTCCCAAGTAAAATATTTACTTTCCTTTAGTTTCATTGGAGTGAACGTCTCTCCGTCGTCAATACATAATTGATATTCAAGCAATATAAAGTTATAGATGACGGAAATTTCGAAGTAAGTATCAGTTATAGTCACCCATCTACAGCGAGCTACAATTCCGGTGAAAAAAGTTAATTAAAAATTTGTCTTCTTTGCTGTTTTGTATTACAAAGTAGCTTTCGTCTTGGCGTCTAAAAGGCGGCAAGTGATGTGACTACAGCATTACAATTATACGAAACCATATATTTCTTTTTCTACATATATTCCGAAATCGTGTTTATTTTTAATATTGTCGTTTTTATAGACGCATTAGGAGAGCGATTGCTGATATATCAAAAAACGGGTTCTTATAATATTTACTAACGTATTCTTATTTAGATTTTTATAGAATTTTACTTTAACATAAATATCTTTTTTTTAAAAGTATTTTTTAATCATGGAGACGTTATTCAATTTTGTATTGAAGCACGTTAAGCAACTTGGAGCCGAATGAGGGAAAAAATCATTTATTTATTTTATGCAAAAATAATTATTCAGCTTCTACTACTTCCGAGGCAATGCACATCATACATTGGATAATATTAATCATTTAGATGAAACATACTGTGAACATTTCATATAAAATTCACCTTATCATTATATGTATGAAGAGGAAATATGCGATACATGATATGAATAGGCATAGATAGATAGATAGATAGATAGATAGAAATAGGTTGAGATAGATATATGCTGAGACAGATAGATATATAGATAAGAATAGGCTTAGATAGATACATATCAATAGGTTGAGATAGTTATATAGATATACATAAATTGGCTGAGATAGATATAAATAGGTTGAGATAGATGGATAAGAGTGGGTTTACATAGATAGATAGATAGATAGATAGATAGATAGATAGATGTAAATAGGCTGAGATAGATATAAATATGCTGAAACAGATAGATATATAGATAAGAATAAGCTTAGATAGATAGATAGATAGATAGATAGATAGATAGATAGATAGATAGATAGAAATAGTCCGAGTTCAATATAAATACGTTGAGATAGACATATAGATAAGAATAGGAATATATAGATAGATACAAATAGACTGAGATAGATATGTACATAAGAATAGGCTTAGATAGATAGATACATAGCAATAGGCTGAGAAAGATATAAATATGCAGAGACAGATAGATATATAGTTAAGAATAGGCTTAGATGGATAGATAGATAGATAGATAGATAGATAGATAGATATAAATAGGTCGAGATAGATATATAGATAAGAATAGAATTAAATAGATAGATACAAATAGACTGAGATGGATATAAATAGGTTGAGATAGATATATAGATAAGAATAGGAATATATAAATAGATACAAATAGGCTGAGATAGATATATGGATAAGAATAGACAGATAGATAGATAGATAGATAGATAGATTTGAATAGGTTTAGAGAGATAAGCAGTTATCCTTGTAGTTCTGCTCTCGATTATCAGGTGTTTATCTTCAACAACAATTGTCACTGTTAGTTCTTTTTCCGTATATCAGTTTCTAAATGCCTTTCTAATGAATATTGCACTTCGTGTTTAGCATTCTTCAACATTTTAGTAATTTAAGTCGCCTTCACGGAATAAAAGTTCGCTTCATGCACCCGCCCCAGTTCTTTGTTGCTTTGATTTTACCATTTGTTTCAAACATCCAAAAAGATATATAAAAAGTTTGAAAATACTGTCGTTACGGCGCGATCATTTTTTCTCTTACCAGAAATAGTTACATATGTTTTGTTTACATTTTTTTGTTCACAGTTTACAGTATTCGGTCTATTGTCCTCATCTTTGCCGCCATATTTATTACAATGTTTCGGCCGTTGTATGTTCCGGCCTTCTTCAGGTGGTTGCAATGTCGAACTGAACCCTTTATTTCACTCACTGGAGTAGACTGTTCTAGTTACACGTGCCATGTCTAATGGATATTAGTTATCAGTTATCTCCTGTTAATTCCCCTCTCCAAGTTCTCCACTGCCTTAACCAGGGATTGAACTCACACTCTATGGATCTTGTCACTGAATCTAATCAATGCCTTTATCCACTGCGCCATGTGTCCTTTTTTGTCATTGCTGAGTTAACATTTTGAACCTCTATCTATAAAAGGCAGGTTGTGTGTGTGTGTGTGTGTGCAACGAATGCACGGCCGCAATCTTCGACGGAGTTGCACCAAAATTTACATGCAAATGCTCCAACTTAGTGGAAAGGCCAAAACCGACGTTGCATTTCCAAACTCCCATCGATAGTGGATATAATCGATGTTTTCATGCTTCTACGGCAGTTTTCATCTAGTTTGCGGCCATTTTGTACTGGCCAGACTGAGAGCCTATAGCTGGCTGCCACGAATAGGCAGGAAGATTCTATTGGCCAGCGTGAGAGCCAACAGCTGACTGACACGAATATTAACTAGCATGCTAGCATGCAAAAAAAAATCGATAGCTGCATTCGTTACAAGTGGCAAAACATTTAAATCTGCATGGCACTTTACTCCAATTGGTTCATTCGCTTGCTTAAACTCAATGTTGATTCAGATTCCGCAGAACTGGGTTTGGTGTGAAAAAGAATTTGTTGTTAACATTCTTTTTTCATTCGGTTTTTCCAGTTATGAGTCCTTTTTTAAAGCTGATCGTTTTGTGTTCATTTTGTTTAGTTCTTTTTTCGTAACAGATTTAATGTTTAGTATAGAGCTTAGAAAAAATTGGCAGTGTGAGATAGGCAAGAAGTAAGGCATGTAGCAACATCAGCACGGCAAAGGGCACTCCTTTAAAGGCAAGGAAGGGCAAAAATATTCTAAGTCAAGTGATAGCGATTGCTGTAATAGTCGTACGATTTTTGGATCAAGCACGGGCAACGCCGGGCCATGCTGCTAGTTAACATTTAACTGAGTTGAAAACTTTGGCAATATCGAAGAGTCAACTGAGGGGTATTTGCCGAAAAGAAAATATGTTTCAGATACAAAATATTCATAATTTAGTAAAATTTTTGGTAAGTAAGAGGAAACTGTAAGTGTCTTTGGCAAACTCTCTAACGTTTTTTTTTTCCATGAATTCCAATCCTTATGATGTTCTTGCGTGGCCAATTTAAGAATCTATTTTTTTTTCTTTTTGATTATCAATGTTTCTCCCAAATAAAAACAAATTTCTTTCTTGACGGGTGTTGAATGAAGCCTAAAAAAGACGTATCAAACGTTATCAATGCTATGAAATGGTTGGTTAATATGTGCAGCAAGAGGGAAACTTCGACAAGAAAGATGCAGACCAGAGTTAAAATAGATTTTCAAAATAAAATCACACACTGAGTGATTAAACATGGATTTCTGTTCATACAGAAAATATACGTTCCACAGGGAACTTAAAAATCTTTCTCTTCGTGCTTCAATTTAGTCAAAAAGCTAATATTTATATATAAATTTGTGCTCTCTGGCTGCCTGCTTGTTATCGAACGCCTCCTAGGGTTTTGGTGACAGAACTCCGTAACCTGATATATTCTGAAACTACATTACCCAGGGTACTTGGACAAATATTTTTCATTTTGATCAAAGGGAATACCCAGGGAGCACACTCGCCTCACTGATATTGTTCTCCCATTTGATATAAATTAAATTTAAATTTGAACAAGGTAATGAATCCTAGTGCACTTGAATAAGTACATATCATTTTCATCAAAGGGGGTTCCGGGGGCACAACCTGCAATTATTTTTTTTTTCCCTTTGATTTAAATTTGAACAAGGAAATGACTTCTATCCATAATATAGAAGAGGAAAGCCAGAAGATGGAGGTCACTTCGGCAAGATCAAAATGGGATAATATGGATGTTAATTTGAACAAGAAATCCCCAGTCAGTGGATAGCGCCTTACAATACAAATTCGTTGCTACAATTCAACTGTCATATCAATATAGTAATATGCACATTAATTCATTCAATGATGTATTACATCAAATATGTATATCAAAGGAGTCAGATCAAAGTGTTTTTGCACAAACCGCCCACTGAAAATGTTTCCCTTTTGATTTAAATTTAATTTAAATTTGATCAAGCGAATGACACCTATCGAAAATATAGAAGGAGAAAGCCAGAAGATGGAGATCACATCGACAAGATCATTGAATATTATTTCTCTCCACAAATTATAAAAATGACTTAAAATCAATCATCATTTTCTGACAAAAAAAAAAAAAGAAAGTTAGACACGCAGCAAAGCGCGGGAAATTCCGCTAGTATATAATAAATTTCAAATTTTATTGCCAATATTGTTATAACTTTGCTTGCCTTTTATTACTCATATTTTATTAACCGGTCTATTAAATCTACATATTACAGGAATCGCCTGTTGACAATATTTCCTTATATATATATATATATATATATATATTTCGATTATAGGTGCTGTTCAACTTATAATTACATGAATCATTCATACAAAAACAAATATAGAGGTTAATGATTTAAATGGCGAGAATACATCTTCGCAAACAATTTCAATAAGTTACACTAACCCCGAAACTGTATATAAATCATATCATTCATATACAGGTTCGGGGTTAGTGTAAAAATTATTGAAATTGTTTGCGAAGATGTATTCTCGCCATTTAAATCATTAACCTCTATATTTGTTTTTGTATGAGAGATTCATGTAATATATATATATATATATATATATATATATATATATATATATATATATGCACAAACATCTTATCGACGGACTAATAGGGGGATGGGGTGGTCTGTTAAATCTGATTGTCCTTAGATAGGAAGGGATTATTTTTGAGTTATAAAACAAATTTAGTAACTACCATTAGTTACGATCATAATGTAAATACCATAAACATGTATATATACCATAAACAAATATATATATTTAATATATATATCAAACAAAATACCAAAAATAACAGATTTCTCACAGCTGCTTTCTCATGCAGGCAGTAATGTATCGTACTTTATATACTGTACACCCATCTTCGTTTACAATTGGAAACCCCGCCACCTCCGCCAAAGGCTCTCCTTCAGAAGGAATGCATCTCGTTCCGCCAAGCCCGCAAATTTTTAAATACATCATTGACTATTTGTTTTTGTTTTTATTTGCCTGCAGATTTTGTCCGTTGCTTCTGATTTCCTTTGATAAGACGGTCCGTAGATAAAAGGTTTGTCTGTATATATATATATATATATATATATATATATATATATATATATATAGTATATGATTTGTGTATACGGAATAAATTCCAATAACCAACAATTACTATTCTTAAAAGAGTGCTCAATACAGAGTACAGCAGATCTAATTAATTTAAAAAAAATTATAACATAAATATGTTATAAAATCACTACAGAAATAAGGTGGTGTTGAAATAAAATGGCTATTTTTGTAATGATTTTATAACATGGCTATTTTTGTAGTGATTTTATAACATATTTATGTTATAATTTTCAAATATAAATAATTATACATACATATGTATATATATATATATATATATATATATATATATATATATATATATATAGTTAAATTCACAGATCATTATATATATGTGTCTCTGTGTCTTTCTGAGTGTCTCTCTTTGTGTGCATTTTGTGTGTGTGTGTGATATTGTATTGATATAAATTCTTTGCTAATTGTTTATCAGAAGAAAACACAGAAAATAAGGAAAAAAACTTGTTAGTGTTTCATTCATATTTTCCTGGCATAATTGACAATAATAAATATACAAGTTTATTATAGAAACAAAGGGGAAGACTTCTTGACGGATTACCTCTTTTATATCTCCAGGGTAGATGAAACTGAAATGGTTTCACTACAGATATGCGTTGAAAAGCAGTAAGCGGGCCACAGTCGATGAGAATTTAATGAAAGAATAATGAAGTAAATTTTAGATGTTGTCATAATTTGGTAAAATCTTTGAGCTCAATTTAAATTAGTTGTCGGTACAAATATATATAAAAAAAATAAAACGCGTTTGTTTTTCATGATATCTCCCTGAACACACCGCCTTCCACTTTCATTAAAAAAATAATGTTAAGTTTGTGGTGTTTACAAGTGATCAATAATACCTTGAAACGCAACGAATATAATCGAAACTGTCACGCAAATTTTTCATTTGACAAAAAATTTCTAGAAAATCAGCGAAACATTTTGCTTTTTTTTTGTTTATTTTTTACTCAATCTAATAAGTTTGTAAATGTGCGTAAAATTGACGAGATTTAAACGAGATTTAAACTTCAAAATAGCACCATTAGTGCCTTACAAAAATAATCA